TAAGCCTCCTTGCAAACGACTTAATGTCTCCAAGGAACAGTAACATTTAATATTTTTTTTAAAATTTTTGAAAAAGGATTTTGAAAACAAATGCCATACTATGAGAAATAGCAGGGAGAGAAAAAAGTAAAATGCTGTAACAGTCTCCTTCATGCTTCCTAAAACATTTAATGTCTGTGACCTTGAAGTCCAGTATCAATGGACTTTTGAGATGCAAATATTATGCTTCCCATTGGAAAAGGATTTAATCTCTCCAGTAGCCAACTCAGGCTCTAACCGTGGGTTATAAGCAGTGACCTTTTCATTAGTCCTGGACTACTCTTAGATCTTAATGCACCTTAAACCACTAGCTGGGGAAAGGAGTGTGAAGTGATGTCCATATTCAGTGAGAAGAAAGAATTCTTTTCTTATAGGAGGTTAAATAACTGAAGAATGATGCCCATTGAAAACTGCAGAAACATTAGAGGAAGTTCTCTGGCTAACTACAAGAGCACAAATGGCACAGTCAAAGGTGGCAAAAGCTGCCACTTGTCACACCACTGGCTCTGTGCACTTTCTGTTTTACATCACGACTCAGGAGCAAAGCACGATGGCTGCAGGATGGGGCAAAACTTGGTTTTATATATAGCTCTACTTTATAATGCTTTAACAATTGTCAGGAAGTCAGGGGAAGGAAGCTGAAGTGTTGGTTGGTCCCTGTGTGTGAGCGCTGTTGCTGTCTGGAGAGCTGCCTCCCTTCTGGCTGCTGCACAAAGTTCTAAGAGCAGAAGAGCAGGTGCTTCAAAGCATCTGCTTGAAGGCTCCTTTGCAAAGGTCACTTGTCAGCGCCATGTGAAAATTTCACTGCATGTAGATCTAAATAATTAATTACTACACAACACAATCTTTTAATTTACATATATCAAGCTTTCAGCAGCCTGCAGACAAACTCCAGTATCCTTTCCAGTCTGCATAGCTTTGCTCGGTAGCAAAAGATGATCAACAAGAATTCATTCTTCATTTTGCTGGTATTATTCAAAACTGTGCCAAGTCTTGGATGCATCTTAGTTTCAGTCATCAGATTAGCCATACTTAGTGGTTCCAGGATAGGATATGTTTCTCTTGCCAAGGACAGCTTATTATACACGGATTTTTTTTTTTGTTTTTTGAGGAAACACTACCTAAAAAGAATTTAATGAATCAGCTGCCCAAAAATAGTGTTGCCTTCAAGGTGAAGGTTGTCACTCAGTGAGAGCTTCCAAGGGTTTTTTAGTACTTGTTGAGCACGCAATGCTTGTCTGCCTTACCAAGTGAAAGTGCTGGCCCAACCAACTCATCAAAACTGTATCAAACTGTAGTTTTTACATAATTCTGTACCTAGATGTCAGTCATTAATGCAATGTGGTACTTCCTCAGGAGGTAATAGAGGTCATAAATATGCACTAATTAATGAGAAATGAGCATTAATAATGAATAATGATGGGCGTTTTCTGTTATCTTCTAAACCTTTCTCAACAATCACACTTCCAGAACTTGTGTTTTGACTTGCTCATGGTTTAATCTGTCAGTTGTAATTTTTTTCACTAGAATTTGATAAATACTCAGTGTAAATAGATATACTATGCTCCAGGGTGTTGTCTTTAATAAAAGAGGTTCATCTGCCACTGTTTGAGGTCTTATTGGGAGCCTGAGTTAAGTAAATTTGTGTCTTTTAATCTTAGCATCTGATTTTGTAATATATAAATATTTGTCAAAATTCAAGATTTTAAATAAAAGCTTGTAAAAATCTATGCTTGCTTTTCTTCTCAAATATTAAACCTATCAGCAGAACAGCCAAATAGATAAAGAAGTATCTAACTGCCTCCTTGGGTATATGGGTATATTATTCTTCTGTTTTAGTCTCTTCTTTGGAAACAAATGTAGAAGCTGTCTGAAAGTCAACATTAGCACGCTGTTAACGCAGATGTTTCCAGGTCTAAGTATAACTTATAAGACATTATTATGGAAATTTCAGACACTACTTTTTGCTAACAGCAAATGATAGCACTTTAACAGCAACCATATGTGTTTATTGATCGGTTGTCTCAACCTTCTCTCATTCTGGGCATGTGTAAAGAGCAGATGTCCTTCGCAGAGTACATTCCTTCTCAGAACACAATTTTAATGAAGGTTCAGTATGAACACGCTCTCAACAGCTATAGGCAGACGGAGCATGGCATTATTAAAACATCATTCGTGCTTTGAACTTCCTCTGCCCTGTTATACTTACTGTAAAATCTGGGAGCTTTTCCATTTTCAGCAGCCTCACATCACACTGTGCCCTAGGTGGGTACAGCTGGTCCATAAAGATTCGCCACGTATTGACTCACTGTAAATATCACAGGGGGTTTGGGGTAGTTCACAGCAGACTAAGATGGACAGTTCTTAAACATGAGCCGTAATTTAAGTAAAAATGAAGTTCATGCTGGGCCAAAACCATTTCCAGCTTTGAGCCACATCATACCAAAGAGATTTCTTGAAAGAAAAAGAGAGGCACCTTTTACAAATTTTTCTTGGTAAAATGGATCTCCCTTGCCTTCCCCCACTCCCCGCTGCAATCGGTGTAATTTCAAGAAAGTTTGTTGAAAAAGTACCCTGACAATGGAATGCTCAGCCTCAGTTTAACTTTTTAGGTCTTAAATCTTGCCTCAGAAGCCTTATTAATGTAATAATAATAAAAAAACCCACAACAAACAAAACCCAACAAAATGACCCCAACCAAAAAACCAAACCAAACAGAAGAAAACCTAGGAAAATTCCTACTTTTTTTTAGAAAAAGCAGCTGAACTCTGAAATGTACTATTTGCACGACTCCAGTCCAACTGTAATCCCCAGCATAAAGATCCTCTGTATTTAAGAGCTGGCATTTGCCAAGCCCTCCTTGGGGCATCGCTCCCGCTCCGCTTTCCTCGGGCTGCATTGAGCAGAGCAGAGCCCTATTTGTGGTTGCAGCCTCTTCAAAGCTCATTATGCCCATATTTCAAGCACAAAAGCCAAAGTAACTTGCAGTTTCTCCCTAAGCAGTCCCAGTGTTTTTGGATAGATTGTATAATGCAGCTCAGACTCCTGTGCTAATTGTTAATTTTAGAATTTTAAATAGGTTTTGTTCTATTCAAAGGAAGTAGGCTAAAGGTTTCTGAAAACTCTGAGTTTAGGAAAAAGGGTTTGGTCTCTTTTAGAGTTTGTGAGTAAATCAGCTTTTGCATCCATGGAGATACCCTTAAATGATACTTAGTACAAAAAACTCTAATTTGTACTTCATGTGCATGGTTTTCTGGACTCTAAAATAAGATTATAATTATTTTTAAGCTACGTTATCTCAAAAAATTATGGAATATTAGTTGTTTATATAAACACAGATTTTGTCCTAAGCCATTAATGGTGGTATTCCAAACTAGAGCTCTCTATGTAAAGCTATGTTTCATTTTGGACAATCTTATTCCTAGCACTGACATGTTCTTCTATTCCTTTCTGAATCAGAACCCTATTTATTCCTGTTGTCCATCTACTTACAAGTGAGTGATATTTACATACTTTGCTTATTTCCAACTGCAACAAGTTTTTAAAAAGGTGGTGTTTTTTATCTGCCGTTAGGCTGCTTTTAACATTACATGGCAGAAACCCAACCATATCTGTCTATGTGGTTTCCAAATTAAACCTAGTTTCCAATAGCAAAATTAGACTCAGATGTAGGTTTTTAATTTGGATTAACTTAATTTGGCAGTTATAAGTGACAGGAGGATTGGAAAGGCAAAGAAAGAAAAAGTTGGCTAATTTCAATGAGGTATTTGTGTATAACAGTGAGGCCTAATAATGCCCTTTTTCTGCATCCTGGTTTGGTTTATTTTCTTTTATGTCATTATTTGTGTTTAGTGAACAGCTGGGCCAGTAGTTCCCATTTGTAGTCCTTTAGCTCTGTGAAGTAGCGCAGAAAGTAATGGACGTTTGCAAATTAATGCTTACCCTTATTTTCTGCTAATCTGATGTAGCTCTCCTTTTGGAGTGTAGATGTAATATCAGAGCAGAAGTAATTACTGTGTTAAAACTAGGATTGCAGTAGAATATTTTGCTAATTAAACTTGTTGCATTTAAATTGCTTCCTTTGGATCACTATATAGAGGAGAACTATTTTGAACAATAAATGAAACCACTTTCTTTCTCAGAGACCCAGAATTGCAGATGGTCAGATTGTATGTGAAGCACCTAGGCTCTGAATTAGGCTTTTGTATGAAAGAGAGAAAGGTAATTTGAATGTTTGAACTCCCTGTTCCTCCCACACATACACAGGAAGCTTGCCTCAAAATGAACAATTCTCTAAATAAAGACTAATAAGAAGCTAAATTAATTAGAAGGTGTGATTTGAAAAGACATTGATGAGAAGAGTCTGTCATTTCAGACAAATGGAATGGAGCTAAATAAATTAGGCCACATTAATATCTCATTGTTCTGTGAGCAGCTTTCTTTTATTGCATTCATTAGAGGGTACTTCTTGAAATGAGCCTTTACTAGCCATTATGGATTCAGTTCTCATTTACCAATGCCTAACACGCAGCTCCTGCATTAAAAATGTTTCAGCAAATCCTCATAGTTTCTGAAAATTAATATTTATATTTCTGCATGCTGCACTTTTCATCTGCAACATAGTAGGCATTAAACATTTTTTCCCACTGAATTGTCAGCAAAGGAGTCTTACATCTAAAGAGTTGGGAAGCAAAAGTCTGAAAATACTTTATAAAATAAACTGTATGCATAACTTGTACAATAGAATATCCCTCCAACTAATATTATTTCCAGTATTTATTTTGATAGAAAATATCCTGCCTCATGACTTCAGTAGTCCTTTGATAGCTTTTTAAAGTGTCTTTTAAAAGGTTCCTTCGGTATATAATTAGGCTGCATTGGAAATGCGCATCTCATCACACCGTTCTTCCTCTCAGAAAACAAAATGCGTATTTTCCCTTTTCTTTTTCTCTCTCCTGCAGATGGAATATTTGGGAGATGTCAGCGAGGGCCAGTAATAGACATCTATAAATATGACATTTCACCCCCTGTTCTGCAGCACCTGAGGATCATCCTGGAGAAGCTCTCACACAGAGGTACAGTAAGAACTCTGGAGTGGGGTTGGATGCACTGGGGGGTTACAATTCTTTGTGCTCCCTCTGAGGTGATGTCCCCAGAAGTTTTTGGACATGGTGTATTTCAGGCCCTGCAGTGCAGACTTTATAAAAGTAAAAAGCCTTTGGACTCACTGAATCTGCCACAACGAGCTGGGGAAGCAATTCCAGGAGGGGCGCTTCCTCTCTGTGCAGCACGTGTGTGTGACTGACACTATACTAGAAAATTTTAGCAGCTATGAATGCTGCTATCATATAAAGAAATCAGCAGGAAAGACAAGAAGTTTGTCATGTATACTTATGCACCACAGCGTGTGTCAGGGTGCACAGGCAGAGGACACACAACTTCCAGTTAGATGGAAACAGGACTTAACTTTCTAATGAATTCAGATAAGTACAACTGCTCCAATTTCACTGCAAGCTGGATCTAGTCTGTTCCTTTTAATTTTTGTTCAGCTTTCCAAAGTTAATCTCTGTGCTCTTTCCGAAGCCAGAAAGGATGTTTTAGCTTCCAAATGGCAGAGCTTGAACTCACAAATCAAAATTTGGATGAAGTGAAAGCCAGTAAGGTGAACAAACCTTTTAGATACTAATACGTGAGATCAACCCCTTGTACACAGCCACAGGACCAGGACATCTTTGTATTCTAAATTTTTCCAAGAATATTGTTGGAATGGTTGAGTTTGCACTTGCATCATCTGTGTGGATGTTTGTTCCTAAATACTTTCCAGTCACAGTCTTGATTGCAAAGTAGTAATATTGTATTAACATGATGTTAGTTCAATGATGAGAAAGGATTGGTTTCTCAGAAGTTTGGGGCCATACTTAGAGACTGGATTTCTAGTTTGTAAGCCACTGATTTAGAAGACTTAAAAGTTTTCAAGGGATTTATTTCCTGTCCAGCAGCCCGTCCAAATGAGACAAACTCAGCAAAATTCTGGCTGATTAACAGTTACATGTGAATAGTACTTGTGGCTCTTTCACTTGTCATTTTCTAAAGGCTAAGTAATGCAAGCAAATTTATGAAAATACTCTTTTGTCAGGGCAATACTGTGTGAGTGGAAAAACGAGTATCTGATCTCTGAATATAATGAGGAATGCAAGGATGGGGGACAGCACCAAGCCACCTAAATTGATATCTAAAGTGATCCTGCGTGCATGGACAGGCAGCAGCCATTTACACCTCCTGGCTATAGGTCGTGTGTTCTATGTAAAGCTTCCTCCACGAGGAGGTCAGAGACCTGCAGGAGACTGATGTCCCTCTGAAGGGGCACATATAGTGGGTGATGGGACACCTCAGGTCATCTCAAAGGATGCTTACCTGTCTCTGTCTCCCTGCTTACCATAATATTTGGGCTAGTACAATGGAACTGTTGCAACTTCCCCCTACCAAGTGCTGAGATAAATAAGCTGACCCTTTCTAGGGTTTTTGTTACCTGCAACCCACCTCTCTGGATTTAACTGTTGCAGAAAACTGCAGTATGCTTCTTTTAAAGAAACTTGGACATTGAAATTTGGTCTTATCACATAATTTTTCACAGCATGAGAATGGCAAGGAGCACACAGATTGAAACTGTGGAGGAGAATAAAGGACTTCTGCTTTTATCCTTTCTTACTTGTGACATTTAGAGGTGCATACACAAATGCGTATATGCTTTGAACTGATACAAAACTCAAGCAATTTTTGTGGCCTGTGGGTATCCCAGTGAAGGGAATCTTAAATATATCTGTGAAAGATAACAGAATGCTGGAATGCTCTTGCTCAAATGATTGATGTGATAAAATCACTCTTTTTTTTTTTTTTTATACTCTCAGTATCTTAGCAATTTTTGTTTAGTGGGGACAGAAATATGGAAGGAGTAGAATCAATACAGGCTATCAGATTAATGGATTACTGACATCAGGTTGCTTAGACAAGACTCTGCTGTTTGCTGGTGCTATCAGATGTAATACATCCAGCCCTCAGGTCATGTTTTCTGGCTGTGATGGTCACTTGCACAGTTAATGCTGTTCTCCTGCAAATTGTGAGCAAAATGGGATGACCATTTCTGCAGTGTAGATAAGCAAGACATTGTCAAGACCATGCAAATATTTCAGGCAACCACCAGAAAGGGCTTCACTTTTTCAGAGATCTTATTTCCTTTATCTATGTAATACCCCATTCTTCTTGTCATCTCCAAAAAACTACTGTCTCACTCAACTTGGTGATGCCCACCTTGCCTGGAATGGAAAGGATAGGGGACATCATCTATTCTCTCCTTTTTGTAAACAGCAGGACAATTTTCTCTTGGAAGACTATAAAGTGGGTCTTATGATTAGCAAAAATCTTAGTAATGTCTATATTGAACCCTTTCTGGTTTTATTATATGTGTATAGAATTAAGGACCAGAAATATTGAGGGCTATTAATTTGAGTGATCTTCTAGGATTGTATTTGTTTTTCTAATATGATTGTTTCTTCAGTTTTGTTTCTTTCCTGGTGTCTTCTTGCAGAATTTCTAGGATCATCCTTTTATTTTTCTTTCTTTTTTTTCCCCCCCCCTAGCGATAGTCTCCTTACATTTATTTCCATAGAATTTAAAGAAATAGAAATAAAGAATAGAAAACCTTGTAAAGTGTACATCCTTGTTCTTCCCTATTTGCTGATAGCTTGTTAAGTGATGTCTATATTTGAATCATGTTCCAAATGGAAGAATGTTTGGTGAGATGTTATAAAACAAAGGACAGTGTGGTGTGAATAGTAAACAGAATTTGTGACTCTGCCAACTCAAAATGTTTACTACAATAGGGAAGCACAGGACAGAGGCTTAGATGAGTGACACACCTGATGATAATCTGTTTAATAAAGGACTTTGACTAAAATTGAATACGGGTTTCATAATGATACAGTTTTTATGTCTTCTTTACACATTGAGTCCATCTTTGTCTACGCTATCTACTAGTAGATTGATGATAGAAATGAATGTCTTGGAATATTTGATAGTTCTCTACAAAGAAAACGGTCTATTAACATTCAGATACCCTTGCTTGTGGCATTTTCAGTCACACTGTCCTTGAGTCAGTCAAACCTTCAGGAAGAAGATTTTCTGAAGGTTCCATTTTTATAAATGTGACTGTCTGTATGGGAAAAACCCTTCTCACAGTTGCTGAAACACGAGGATGAATCACCTTCTGAAGCTGGTGGTACCCTAATTTATAATTTATAATAATTTGTGAGGAATTGAAAGTTTTCTCATTGTCGGATAATCAGGACAGCCAGAAGGATGGGACTAAATAATTTTAAAAGGGAAATGTTGGAAGTGTCAGCACAGAGGAGTGAATGAGTAGTGCCTGAAGGAATGGGAAATATTTATCCCTGTGGTTGGTCTTTTGGTCTTCTGCGTTGTCATGTCCAGCTTGGAAGAGGATACTTCTTGGAGTATAGCAAGAATGATAAAACTGTCCATTTCCTGGTTTGAGCTAAAATACAGTAAATAATTTTTTCTTTTTCCTTTTTTCTTTCTTTCTTTTTTTTTTTTTACTTAAATGCAATTAATTGATTATAATTTTTGTTGTTGTTTTCTTCTTGTCATGACAATATTATTGTGAAGGCAAAATAATCACATCACTGAGATTCTTAGCATGACTGTGGAAAGAGTTTCACATTGATTATTGACCTACACACCATGAAAAACAGGATAGGAGGGCTAAGCATGGGACATTATAACTCAAGCATGAAGCATAAATAGTACTTGAATATCACCATGAGCAATAATAAGGGAGAACAGTAATATTTCTCAACTTGCTTACTCTAAGAGGCATTTACATTTGCTTCATAGAATAATTTCTGACCATGAAAACTCAGTGCTAACTCTGTGAATGTGCAGCTGCCACAGCAATGAGCATCACCTGACAGAGGAGCTCAGAGACGGAGGCTGAAGGACACACTTCCTTAACGGCATCACAACAAGGATATTTGCACAGGGTCACAACAAATGCCCATCTGACATGGGATTGTGACTCTGGGAGTGGGCACTGCATGTTTGGAGAAAAATGCAGTGAAAGTCCAAGCACACAGAAACGTTTTGCAGTGCTGGTACCTCCTCAGCATTATGTGCTTGGTGTCACACGGTTATGAGCTGGAAGTCATATTTTCGTGTTTGCTGTGTGCTCTGTGGACACTGTTTCTAGCACAGTCTGACAGGACACTCTGTATTAGAAAGAAACCTTGTTAGACTAATAATCAGTACTTCAGCTTCTGTCTTGTGTTTTAATTACAATATAACTACACTATGGCTATTGTCACTCTCCTGCAGGAACAGTGCAGTGTGACTATTTGAAAAACAAAGCAGTTGAATATTTTTCTACGTTGTTTTTTCTTCTTTTAATGTGACTTGGAATAATTCTTAAATAATTCCCCAGTATGATTGCTGCTACTTAATTTTTGCGGTAACACCTTCTGGTTCAAAATGTTACTTTCAGAGAAAGCAGTTTATTTCACTCTATTAAGAAAATCCTGCTTAAGGTATTCAAAAATCAACAGTGTTATTAAGAGAACCAAAACCAGTAGGATACGCTTTTAAATTCATGTAGCTCAAGTCAGTAAGAAATTCTGGAGAGGCTCATTGGCCTGTGGAAATCGGCAACAGATTTACAGACTATTTGGAAAAAACCAGCACTTTTTTCCTCTTGCTTGCTTTATTTGCAACTCAGGAAGTTCTTGACAGGGAGAAAAATTCATTTGTCCAAAATTAATTTTAAGCAATTAAGTGTAAAGTGATTAATATAACTTCACTAGAAATAATTTTATATTCTTACAGCAAATTTCTTTAAAAAACTGAAGGGATTTACAATCACTTAACTTGAAAATTGAAATGAATGTGACTTGTCACATACAGCTTGTGAATTACAAAAAGGTTGCTAAATATTTCTTTCAGTCAGGACTATTTTTCAAGGAAAAGTATCATTTGTTATTGCAGGAAAGGTAAGACTTGAAAGTAAACC